CATACTGGCGCGCTCGCGGATGATTCAACACCGCGACGTTGCAGGACGCCGCCTTGTTGTATGCACGGGTTGAAATTATGATCGATGGCATCGAAAAAATGCAAATTGAGACAATGGGTAAGTCGGAGAGCTGCGATGACTGCAGTGAAAGCGGGTCATGTGGGATTTAACAAATATCGGAGTGAGCTAAGGAGTCGCTCGATTTCAATTTGACGATTTGGGGGTGAGGGAGGCCTGAGGAATATCAAGACGGGTCGCCGGTGAAAACTATGCGAGGGGAAGTTTGAGGACGATTCGCCTGAGTAGCCGGGCTGTGCGAAAGAAAACCCACGGTGATTCCTGGTATTGCGTACGGCGGTGGCAAACAGTGAGATCATTTCGTGCCCGGCAACGGCTGTGTCTCGTCGTCTCGCTTCCGGCGATGTTCAAGTTGCCGCGTTCTTGGTCTTACCTTTCCTTTTATGCTACATCTCGCTTGGACCGAGCCTGGGCAGGCCTGGGCGTTGCATCGGGGCACGCTGCGGTTTGAAGCAGAACGTATGCCCAATGTTCAATGCATTGTGACTGATCACTTGCCCTCCACGCGGAGTAGTTCAACACCGCAATTTCGCATGGCCCCAGCTCATTAAATACACACGAAATATGGAATCAAAACAAAGTCGGGGATGATGAGATGTGGTAACCAAAAAAAAGTCAGAATCTATTCATATGGCTCGAGCCCGAGTCGAACGGACGTTCCCTGCGTACGGTGATTATACGGTGACCCGACAACAGGTTGCAGGTGCGGACCGTCCGCTATCGAGCCGCTATTAGGATGCATTCGAATCATAATGTATGGCGTGTTTCAACCGCATACTGACGCCCTCGGATGGGCCAACACCGAAAATCTGCATGGCGCCGCCATCGTTTCTCTTGAAATTTCAATCTATGCTGTGGACTGAGATATGGCAACCAAAGAAAAAGAAGAAGGCTACGCAGCCATGGCTCGACCCCGAGTCGAACGGGCGTTCCCTGCGTATATATGATGGACTTCCTAACAGATTGCAAGTGCGGACCGTCCCTATCGAGCCGTTGTTAGCTATGATTTGAAGCATAATGTATGCCAATCTGTTAACGGACTCACGGCCCTCGCGGATTGCCATCTTGCATGACATATGTAAGACGGCACGATAACCGAGCTTGTTATACAGGATATAGAAATTATCTATGGAACCGAACCAATGCCGGACGCTAAGATAAGATAAGGCAACCAAAAAAAAAACACAATGGCGGAAATATGGCTCGAGCCCGAGTCGAACGGGCGTTCCTACCTAAGCTAAAACACCGTCGAAGTCATTACATAGGTTGCAGGTGCGGACCGTCCGCTATCGAGCCGTTATTAGCTGTGATTTGAAGTGTAATGTATGCCCAATTTCAGTGCACTCTGATTTAATTAACACTCGTCTCCTCGCGGAATCAAGAGGCCGGTGTTGCATGGCGCCCGGCTTATGATATTCAGACGAAATTATAGAACCTGAAGAATGCCAGGACGATGAGATGCGGGGCGTGCGGCAACCAAAAAGAAACCCAATTGCCAAGCGAGCATGGCTCGAGCCCGAGTGGAACGGACGTTCCCTGCGTACCCTGGTGGCTGCTTTCTGACAGGTGCAAGTGCGGACTGTCCGCTATGGAGCCGTTGTTAGCTATGATTTGAAGTAGAATGTATGCCTAACCAATTTACTGTGATTCAATTACCTCGCGAATTCAACACCGCCCTTTCGCATGGTGCAGCCATTGTCTCGCTTGTCACTTCTTGCCAGTGTTATGTGTGCACGAAATTACGGAATCGAAGCGCCGGACGATGAAATAGGATAGCCCAAAAAGGAAGCCAAAAAAATCCTTGCCAACATAGAATGGCTCGATTCCGAGCCGAACGGGCGTTCCCTTAGCCCCACGCTGGTCGATGCCGAACAGTTTGCAGCTGCGGACCATCCGCAATCGAGCCGTTATCAGCAGGGATTTGAAGCAGCATGTATGCCCAGTTTTCAATGCACTCTTATTTAGCTTCTCCTCGCGGGTGCGATTTCGCATAGCGCCGCACTTGTTATATGCACACAAAACTACTATCCATGGAACCAAACCAATGTTGGGAACCATGGCATACGGCAGCCAAAAAAAGAAAGAACTTAGTGGAAGAAATATGGCTCGAGCCCGGGTCGAACGGACATTCCCTGCTTACGAGGTTTAACGACGATAACATGCTGCAGGTGCGGACCGCCCGCCATCGAGTCGTTATTAGTAGGGATTCAAAGCAGAATATATGCCCAATGCACTGTTACTTGAATATATATTCGGGGATTTCAACACCACGATTTCGCATGCAGCGTTTGATATGTGCAAGAAATTATTATCCATAGAAGCGAAACAACGCCAGGATGCTGCAACGCCAAAAAAACCCAATTCGCATATATCCATGGCCCAAGCTCGAACGGGCGTTCCCTGCGTACGATCATCACTCATGTAGCACAACAGGTTGCAGGTGCGGACCATCCACCATCCACTATCGAGCCGCTATTAGCAGGGATTGAGGGAGAATATATGCCGGATTTTGTGGTGGTTGGAACCTGGCCATATGGCCAATTTTGAACGCCACTCGCATGGCCCGTCATGTTGCAAGACACAAGACGGCGCGATCACCGCCATATATATATATATCATCATCTATAAAACCTAAACAATTCGGGTACGATGAGATTCGGTAACCAGAAAAAGAAAAAGACGAATGCCACTCAGCCATGGTTCGAGCCCGAGTCGAACGGGCGTTTCCTGACTACCATCTTCGATATCGCACAGGTTTCAGGTGCGGACCGTCCGCCATCGAGCCGCTATTAGCTGTGATTTGAAGCATAATGTATGCCCAATTTTTAAAAATACACTGCTATTTAATTTAACACCTGCCTCTCCTCGGGGTTACATCACCGCGTATCACGCCGCGATCGTCTCGCTTGTTACTCACTGCGTTGAGACCCCCTGTAGACAGACCTCGGGCTACCTTAGTGTACCTTAGTGTACCCTCTGTCTACCCGGGTAGACATATGTGTACCACGACATGTAGACGTAAGTTAGTCGACCTCATTGTACCCCTGTCTACCTCCGGCTACCTAGGGTGGACGCTACCTCCGGCTACTTCCGTCTACCTCGGTCTCTGTCGGTACACTCACCTCGTCCAAACTTACGGTGCTAATTTAGGCTCACCTCGGCTTTTCCTGTGTCTGGGTGCCTCTCCTTTGCTTTGCACTAGTTCTGGCTTGCTTATCGCTTTCTTGGCCTGTGTGTGCGAGCGATTATGTAACATGTGGCGCTATATGTGCACACACATCACACATTGACAGCGGTGGTCATCGGATCAAACAATCACTTGATTCCCCACTTCAACAGTCGTGGAAACTCACTTGCAATTCACTGTCGACTGCTCGTCAACCTGGGTTGAAAGTTCGCTGGCGAAACCCAGCGTTGATGTCAGCCCGATCATGTCTGCGTCGGTCTACCTCAGTCTACCTCGGCTCAGGTCTGTGTACCTCCATCTACAGGGTAGACAGACGGTAGACTCAGGTGAACCGGGTGTGTGTACGCAACATGGACTTAGGTAGCCAGACAGATCGGTCTACCCTCGGTCTACCCCGGTAGACAGACCCTCTGTCTACAGGGGGTCTAAACGCAGTGACTGCTTGTTATGTGCGCACCAAATTACGGAACCGAAACACCGGACGCCGAGACAAAGCAACGTCAAAAAAAAAACCAATTGGCAAGCGTGCATGGCTCGAGCCCGAGTCGAACTTCCGTTTCCCAGCCACTGTGATGGCGGATTTCACATGGGTTTCAGGTGCAGACCATCCGCTATCGAGCTGTTATTAGTAGGGATTCATAGCAGAATGTATGCCCAATGCACTGTCACTTAAATATATACTGGGCGATTTCAACACTACGATTTAGCATGGGGTCGCGATAGACGCCCAGGTTGAAGTTATCTATGGAACACAACGGGACGATGAGACCAGGCAACTGGAGAAGGAGGAGTACGGATGCCAACCGAACATGACTCGAGCCCGAGTCGAACGGGCATTCCCTACGCTCGCACTCGGCAACACAGGTTGCAGGTGCGAACCGTCCGCCATCGAGCCGTTATTAGTAGGAATCTGAAGCAGAACGTATGCCCAATTTTCAAGGCCCTTTGTGGTTTCATTAACACTCGCCCTCCTCACGGAGTCAAAACAGCCGCTTCGCATGGCGCCGTTATCACCGTGCTTATATGTGGGTCTCATTCAAGTTTCTGAGGGACCTGGCCAAGTTTCTTGATATTTACACATTGAATTATTACAGAACAGAAAGGGGATCATGAAATGCGGCAACCAAAAAAAAAAGAATTAGCAGATCTTCATGGCTCGAGCCCGAGTCGAACGGGCGTTCCCTGCGTACGATGAACAATGATATTGTAATTACACAGCTTGCATGTGCGGACCGTCCGCTATCGAGCCGTTATTAGCGGAGATTTGAAGCAGAATGTATGCTTAATTTTCAGCTCATACTCACGGCCCTCGCGAATGGGTCTTCACCGCGATTTCGCCTGGCGCCGCCATCGCCACGCTTATTACTGCTAGTTGTATGGGCACTACAATACAAAACTGAAACACTGGACACTAAGATAAGGCAACCCAAAAAGAAGGGATTGACATGACAGTCAAACATGGCTCGAGCCCGAGTCGAACGGGCTTTCTCTGCCTACGACAAAGTCACGATTATGGAACAGGTTGCAGGTGCGGACCATCCGCTATCGAGCCTTTATTAGCTGTGGTTTGAAGCAGAATGTGTGCCTAATTTGAGGACACTAATCGCGCCCTCCTCAGAGATTCGACATCGCATGGGGTCGCGATAGACCCCCAGGTTGAAGTTATCTATGGAACACAACGGGGACGATGAGATCAGGCAACTAGAAATAGAAAAAGACGAAGGTCCACCAAACATGGCTCGAGCCCGAGTCGAACGGGCGTTACCTGCCTACCATCTTCAAAGGCCTTGGAACAGATTGCAGGTGCGGACCATCCGCCATCGAGCCGTTCGTAGCTGTGATTTGACGCAGAATGTATGCCCAACTTTCAATTCACTGTGATGAAATTACCTCGCGAATTCAACACCACCATTTCGCATGGTGCCGCCATTGTCTCGCTTGGTACTACGTGTTGTACGTGCAAGAACTCAGTATCTATAGAACCGAAACAATGCCGGGAACGCCGAGATACGGCAGCCAAAAAGAAGCCTGGGTCGACAACATGGCTCGAGCGCGAGTCGAACGGGTGTTCCCTGCCGAGCATCGTAGGCGCTAGAACACAGTTTGCAGGTGCGGACAGTCCGCTATCGAGCCGTTATTAGGGGGAGAATGTATGCCCAATTTCAGTACGCCTTGTGGTTTCATTATTGAATACTTGCCTCTCCTGGCGCCGCGATCGCCGCGCATATATTCACCCGAATGTATCGTCTATAGAAGCGAAAGAATTCGGAATGGTCATCACTATTGCTCACATTGAACCTGACCCCAGTTTCAGCTTCACTTCGGCATTCAACGAAGCTCCGGGCATCTCGGCCGAGAAAATATAAAATCAATATATATTTCTGAGTATGAACTTCTCTTTTCGATTCTGGAGGTTTCAGAAAGGTGGAAGCCATCCGACTTCACACTCATATCGGAGCTTCATGCCGGAGCGAGGCTCCGGCATGTCTTGTGTAAAGTTGAAGTTGTGTTTTGAAATCGGTGTCGACGGAAATAGAACATAGGCTAATAGAAAGGTCCCCGAGCTAATTGATCTTCGTCCGGCAACGCCCGGGTCGGCAACAGTGACGTGGGCTCGGCTTACATCAATCTCTTCTCTCCACCGACCTCTACCTTTAAACGCACTCTCTCGTTTCTTCTGTTTTCGCTTTCCCGGACGCGCTTAGACGGCACTGAAACTCGCAGTGGCACACGCACCATGTCGTCTAACGACGAGCAGATTCGCCTGGAGGGACAGGATACGCGTAAGAAAGCGGCTCGAAGACCATGCGACGTATGCCGTAGAAGAAAAAGTGTGTCTCCGACTTCTGTTGCTAATAATGAATCCTCACTTGCTTTAAGCCAGATGTGAGTGCCCACTCGCGTGGAATCGCTTCTGAACTCACTCAATTTACCAGGTGTCGACGCAAGTGGTAATGGCTCGCAGATAACGGGATCCAAGTGCTCCATCTGCCTCGACGCGAATCTCGAGTGTACGTATGTTGGCCCCGCGAGGGTACGTCTTTCGCCCTATGTCAGTGCGTTATTCCCTCGTTGTGTTGTTCATTGCAATGCAGAAACGAAAAACGTGAGTCTTGTCAGATACGCCTCGATGCGATTCCATAGAACTTTGATAACACCTTGAGCAGCCTCTATGTGACTGGGCTCGAGACGCGCGTCAAATCCCTCGAGACCCAAGTCGAGGAGTCCGAGGCGGTCATCTTTCAGCTGCGCACCGAGATCGCCCGGTTGGGGGAAGAACTTGCGGTCGCGCAGGTGCAGTTGAGCGGCAATTCTGCCTTGAACACCATCTCAACCTACTCCTCATTGCCCTTTGACGTCGAGAGGAATGTCATCGGATCCACTTCCACTTCCACAGAGCAACAGCACGACGCGCGCAGCGCGGCGCTGCAAACGCTGCGCACGGGGTTGCACACCGTGTCCGAGCCCCCCCCTGCGCCCCATCCCGATGACCTCCTAGACCCTGAGCTTGAGCGCAAGGTAGGTGGCGTTTTTAGAATGTCCTCAATTCCGTGCTGACTGCAATTGCGCTCTTCGCACAGATTAAAGCGATGACGGTGAATACACCGCAAGGATTCACTGGGAAAAGCAGCTGCGCAGCGCTCCTTAAGACAGCGCTCGACCTCAGGCAGGATGTGCGGCGTGGGGATGGACGTACTGAGGCCATACATAGCATGGGTACGGGACCCATGATGCAGGGCATCAGCGCCGCGGAGAGCCACCCGGATTTCTGGGCGAAAGATTTTAATGCTTCTAAATGCTTGAACGCGGATGAGGATGAAGAGTGGACATGGCCCGCACTACGGCCAGAATACTGGATGTTCAAACCGGTGCGTGGTCGTGGTGTTCTTTGTTTGTCTTTCTGTGCGTCTTCGAGCGTATCATATTCTCCCGCGTTCCTCACCATTTCACCACTGACTCACAACACTGACTAATTCCTTTTTTCCTAGTGGGAGAACATCGCCCTGACGCGCACGCACGCGTATCGCCTCCCGCCGCCGGATCTCGTCATGCACCTGGCTGAGTTGTACTTCACGCGTGCACACATATACCTTCCAGTCCTCCATCGCCAGACGTTCGAGCGTAGCGTTGAGATCGGCATGCATCATTGGTAAGTGCCGGTACTTTCTATTTATCTTCTATCGATCTCTTTAATGCTGCGTTTTCTTTCTTTCCTCGTTCATTTATTTCCCTCGCGGGTGGTTTAATCCCCTGATTTTGCATCATCCGCAACTGACGCGCGATCCCAGGGACGACGGCTTTGCAGCAATCGTGCTGCTCGTGTGCGCCATCGGCTCGCGGTGGAGTGATGACCCGCGCGTACTGCCGCCCACTGGCAACGACAAACCTCATCTTCAATGCGGGTGGCAATGGTTCACCCAGGTATAGATGTCCTATTTATGACAATGTGCTCTTGACGTGGTGCTGACCTATTGCCATCAACAGGTCACGCCCGCCCTGTCCGGGAACCATCTTTTGGGGCAGGGGACGTTGTGTGATTTGCAATACCATTGTGTACGTGGTTTCACCGTTCTGTTCCTTTCTGCGTTGATCGAATATACGCGTGTTTGCTCCCTTCACTGATTTCCCAACCTTAGCTAGCCGTCCATTTCCTGCTAGAAGCTGCCTTGTACAAGCCCGCCTGCTGGATGCTTGTCGGTATTGGACTACGGCTGGCTCAGGTGCGTGCACTCCATCCTTGGAATTATGGAGATGATTAATAGGCTTAATTCTTTCCCGTAGGACGCCGCTGCCCACCGCCGCCCCGCGCAAGCGGAGGAGCCCACTGTCGAGCGCGAGCTGTGGAAGCGGGCCTTCTGGGTGCTGGTGTACCTGGACCGCTACGTGAGCTCGCACATGGGGCGGACGTGCGCGATTCAGTATGACGAGTAAGTCGTGTTGTTTATTCTGCCTTCTTTATTGCTCCCTCGCTTTCCTCTACTGGATGAATTCAATGCTGACCTGATGATCCCGTGCCCATAGCTTCGACGTCGAGCCGCCAATAGAGTGCGACGATGAATATTGGCTGGACCCAACCCACCCGTTCCAGCAGCCGCCTGGCGTGCCCTCCCGGATCACGTTTTTCAACGCGCTCCTGCGCCTGAGCCATATTCTGGCATTCACGCTGAAAGTGTTGGTGCGTTCACCGTCATTTCTCTCACTAGGCATTGGCCGCTAGCAATCCAAACGCAAGAAAAGCTAACGAGCGTCCACCCCTAGTATTCGCTCGGAAAGTCCCGCGCCAGGTTCACGGCCGACGACGGGTGGGAGGAGCACTTCGTTGCGGACCTCGATTCTGCGCTCAACCGCTGGCGCGACCAGGTGCCGGAGCATTGTGCGTCTTTCTCCCTTGGTAACGCCATTAACTCTCCCTCACATTACTCTCATCAGTGTCATGGGATCCCGCGCGCGCGGATTCAGTGTTCTTCGACCAGTCCGTCGCGCTGCATTGTGCGTATTATCATCTGCAGATCATGGTGCACCGATCGTTCATCCCGACGGTGCGCAAGGCGGCGCCTACGGTATGTCGCCAGGATTTCATTTTATTGTGAATGTGGGTAGATCCTCATAGCGGCACAGAAGCTTCCTTCCATGACGGTGTGCACGAACGCGGCGCGGGCGTGCGCCAATATGGTCGATGTACAGCGCCGTCGGAAGGGAGATGAGCCGGTGAATTTCAACATGGTGCGTCCCATTTAAATTTCTTCTACTGCGGGGCATCAAACGACTTGATGTAGTCGGATATGTTCGACGCGGCACTTGTGCTGTTGATGAATGTATGGAGCGGCAGGCGTGCGGGGGTTGCGCCCGACTCCCCCTCCAACCGCGAAAATCTCGAGAATGTGCACAAGTGTATGGAAGTGCTGCGCGTGTGCGAGGACCGGTGAGTGGGAGGACCATACACCAACAATTCCATCTTGCAGCAGTAGTGACTCATTTGCTGTTTCTAGATGGCCGGTCGCGGGATTGATGTGGTGCGCACCTACCCGTCCGCTGTGCATTGGGCGGTATTTTGATATTCATTGCATTCCACAGGGACATCCTTGCAGAACTCATACCCATGGGCAAGCCACCCGCCCAGTCTTCAAGCTTGGCGCATGCAGAGGCCTTCGGCGAGCCGCACGACACTGTAGCTACCGACATGGCAACATTCACGTCCACCCCCCACGACCCTCAGTACGCACTGCCGTATGCGCCCATACAGGAATCTTTGCCGGGCGGGAGCCAGATCCCGCCGATCGATGCGGACAGGTCCTGGCTTGCGTGGGAGGCGCCGTTCGCTGTGGATCCAACTTCGACGGCGATGATCAATTTCTACCTGGATGAGATTCGAGTGCGTATATTATATTCCTCCGTTTGACTTTTGGTTTTAGTCGGGATCTGATGACTAGTGCAGGGTCTATGATTGGGACGTGTTTTTTTAAACAATGTTGTTGGAGCATATGAAGCGAGACCCAGCTACATGAAAAATATTAAGGCTGAAAAAATACTCGACATGTCAGTATTTTACACCCCCCAACTTTATCATCACTCTCCAAATACACCCGCCGCCGACACAACAACTTAGCGGTGTGCGTGTGGGTGAGGCTCAAGTCGGGCTGAGATGAACGTATCTGCCCCGCTCATAGATTTCCACGTCGCTCCAGATAGATTTATCTAACCTCGATTCATCTAGAACTAAGTTGCTCGAACGACGAGGATCTCCGGCGCGAGAGGCGGTGTGAAATACTTGCTTCATGGTATCCTGAATCAGACACGGAAATATCCGGGCGGCAGGTGGAGTGGAT